GTGTACATATACTATGTATGTAACAACATGATTTGCTTTAGTCTTTTAAGTTAACATTTTTGTTATACTATCCGTTATAGTTTTTTTTCTTAAAAAGGTTATCCATAAATTAGAGAATACTAGTAGATTATAGTACAACGTGAATAGAGCCTAAACAATTTATACTATAATTTGTTCACAAATAATAAAATGATCCATTCAACTTCAGAAAGATGTTGTATGCAAAATTATACTTTAATGAAATTTCAGTGTGATCTTCTGTTAGAAATAAAATTATGGCGCTTTATCTAATTAATTTACAGTTGAATAATATCTATTCTTTTTTTGTTGTTAGCTCAGTCTATATATATTGTTAATTTGCCTGCATTGGAACCAAATTTAAAATCGTATTTCAATTAATCTTACGTATTTCTCATGTCAAGAATCAATTACACAATAATATTGTTTTTGATTCTAGTTTCCATCAACAAAAAAAATGTTGTCTACGTGGTGAAGTACCTCCAATTCTTGTATATATAATATGTAGCAGACATTCAAATGGTTTTTAGCGCTCAGCTTATTTAAACATATTCACATTTGTACATCCTGGTTATCTTCATCGATGCGTAAACCAAAAAGAAAAAAACAAGAAAATATTCTAAATCTGTGGTGAACAATATATCATTCTCTGTTCAAAAATTACTTTCCCAAGCGTCATTCCTGGTCAAGTTTTGATAGTTTGGTCCACGTGACACGGTTTCTTAAAACTCGATTTATGCAAACCAATCATTTATATTTAATGCTTTCTCGACGATTTGACGTTTGATGGAAAATGGGTTCTGTGGATTGCAGAGGAAACAAAATAAAAATCATAAAAACTGTAACATACTAATACGTATAAGAATATAAGAGTACAAAACATGGCATGACATGTTGTGCAGATAGAGAAAGATGGTTCCAAACTTGAGTCCTATGCCTGAGGGCTGAAATGGTGGAGCTAAACTGTCTCAACTTCAATAATGTAATAGTATATAATGACATTAAATTGTATCATTGGATTCATCTTATTTGGATTCAGAAGTTGCTTCTTTTGTGATTCATATTACCACAGGTTACATATATCTTGAATTTGATGTAAAATGTGTGGTGGTCGCAAAAAGGAGTTATATAGATTAAAACAGGATATGCACCAATTGTTCATCTTCCCATTGGTGATTACTGATAATACCTACGTGACGGTTTTCAATGGGTCAAGAATTCATATTAAGAAAAAGTAATTAAAATGCTACGTATATAATTTATATAATACAAACATAGTTCATCATTTTTTTAACTAAGGGCTTTCAAGTTCATCATTTATATTTTGGGGGTTTAAGTGGTCTAACAAGTTGTCTAGGACTATTCAAACTATCTATGCGATTTACAGCCATCACATGGCATATTTACGCTTGTCAATTAATATACTGCACTGTCTTATGTTTTTGTTGTACTCATTTCGAGTTTTGTATTTGTCTTTTAGGTCACCTAATTGTCATCAAGTTCCATAAAAAATCACATTTATATTATTACAATGTTTAAACTTACATTAAATGTATACTAAAACATGGGAAAATCAAACAAATAAGATTTCAACTTGAAGTCGGAGAATAAAGGAAGATAAATTCAATATGCGTTAATGACAAACATAAACAGAAAACTATAAAAAACAACGTATTTAGGTTACTAAGAAACATAGACATTTTGTTATTGCTGAAAATTTAACATTTTGTACTGGTTGCATAGTGTTGCGAATTGAATAGTTAAAAAGATGGTGACAATACTATTAACCCTTGCAATAATGTTGAAAGGTATTTAAGCATATGTGATGATTTCTAGCTTCGTTTTTTTTAATACCATACTGAGAACATGATTAATGGGAGTGACCCGTTTAAGGTTCTTAGAATATTATTTGACATTACTTTATATTTTTTATTTAAAAGATGTTTTTTAGTTTTTCTTAATTAAAATTTAAAAATGTATTTTATATTACACTAAAAATCATACCCTAAAAAACTCAGTTAATGATGTTCTTATATAGTCCGCACTACATCTTATAACCAAAAAAAATCTTGATTGAATCCAAAGTTTCTTGTAAAGTATATTTTTAATAACTAGGAGGTTTTGGATCCGTAAGGCGGGTACATTTGCCTTAGGCAAAAATTATAAACTATTTTAAATTCAATATCTTGTGGTGTGCAGGGCCGGCCCTGAAATTTTGGGGGCCTAAGGCGATATTTTAACGATTTCAACTAAAATCCTTTTTGTCGGATTTGGGGGCCTAAATTTTTTTTTTTCGGGGACCTATATACATGAAATTTTTTCTAAAAATTTTGGGGGCCCAAAGCAAATGTTTCATCCGACTTGGCTCAGGACCGGTCCTGGTGGTGTGGAGATCAGTACCAACGAAACTCTAACCTATTGTCAATCTCTTGTGGTTATAATACATTTTCCAACAATGAGGTATAGTGAAGATCGGGCTACATCAATATGGTTAGTATAACTATAACTCATCAGCAAGCAGGTTAGACATTGTCTACTTTCGAACAGTTACAAGGGTTAACGGTTGATGAGTACCTCCATGCTTGTTTTGCCACATCTCTTTAGAGTTTGCTGTTGATTTTTTTTTCTAAAAATCTTATATTTTTAAACAAAAAAACATATATATTCAAGCTACATTTGACGTAAATGAGATATTTAATTAATTTAACATACTTAAAAAAACGAAGTTGACTGTTCACTGCGAGTCATCAGGTAGACAATAACAAACAAGTTATAATCATATTGTTTCTTAAGTAGTAGAACCCATGAAATCATGAAAAGTTGAAATTAATTTTGAGTTTCTTTTGGATACATTTTTAGCAATAATTTTATTTTGCATGGATTATTGGAATAGAATGATTATAACCATGTCTGGTCGGTCCATGAAAGTGATCCATCGAAGCAGCTTGCCATCATTTCCCTTATCTTAGTTAGCTTTAGTGTGTTGGTTATTAAAAACAAAAAAAAAAATACAATTGCTCAAAAAGTTGTGGCATCCAAGAAGATGATATTAGAGCATCTCCGGGGATGCTCTTGGTACATGCAAATGTAGCTGGTGCTATGGATTGAAAACGGAGTATAATTCTTCACAAAGTAGTATATCTGATTCCGAAATTTAAATGATGAATTAGATACTATGAAAAGTTGTCGTATCATTTCGTCTTAAGATTTTTTAAAATTTATAACGGTCTATCAGTTGATTAGTTATATTGCTTTTTCCATTTGTTGCTCGTTGAGAAACGAATGATCATTATTAAAAAAAAAACGATTGATCATTTTCTTTGACTTCTTGGATGTTTCGGACATATTTTTCTTGAACAGTTAAATCATATGTTTATTGCGTTCGTAGGATTCACCTAACATACCAAACGCTATGCTTGTTCAAATCTTTAGTGTTTGGTATAAACAAAACGTAAACATTTCATGTTTTATCACCCATAGGCTCATAACAACTAATAGCCATGACAATCTACCAAATAATCTTTCAACAGAAACCAACACAAGTTCAGAATGATGGAATCCATCTGAAGTCACATCTCATTACAAATCAGTTGTCTAGAGTCATCGATAAAATTTTATGAAATCAGATCATTTGTTCGGATACCCGGTCTCCCAAAAAATCAAAGATTGGGATGAGCTAAGTTTATTTCAAACTCTAAACACTTTTCTGAGGCAAATATTTTTTTTTTGTTGAATAAAACAAACTTCACATTCCAAAGGAAATATAAATGCAGATATTCTTTAATCAAATAATATTTGTAATGAATATGCATACATTAATTTGTATATTAGCATATAAATAATTTATCCAGCTGAAATAAAATGCTAACTTATTTTATAACGCAAAATAACATAACATACAACCATCATATTACATATCAGAAGTTCTGACTTTGTCTCAAAATTGATAGCAATGATTTTGTTTAACTTTTCTTGTATTTGAAAGATTATTTTTATCAAGAAAGCAATATTATAAATGAATCTTAGGATCATAGCTAGTATATAGCTCATTTAAAAAAACTGTAACAAATATTTAAGAAAAAACAAATAACTAAAATTGATACAAGCGTAAATGTTTGATTTTACATATCCGGTCCCAAGCAAGCAGGTAAACTAAGCGTGCTTTGTGTGTTTTTGCTAAAGCTTAGTGTGCATAAAAATTGATTTTCTTTTCTTTTTCATATTATTTTTCCTTTTTAGCTTATTCCGAGAAAGTGATAGAAACTGTGTCCTCGTTGAAATATGAAACCTGTTTTAACATACTTCTTTTTTTCTGATCTTTCTTCAAAACTATAGAAAAAGCATCTTAGGCTTTGCTTTAAAACCCGCCGGATGAATCCAAAGGTTTGAAACGGTCCCCTCTTTTTTGCTAAATAGCAACTCATCATACAAGAATGATGACACATCTCTCACGTTCTTTCTTTCTTCCACTATTTTGTCTCATTTCTTGTATGAACATCAATCAAAGCTTCTCTTGTCTTTTTATGTCGCTACATCGCTCTCTCACCGATCTGTTCCTCCTCGTCCAGTCCTTTTATCTCTCCACAAGAATTCAGAAAGATTTTGTAGAGATGATACTCTTGATAATGAGAACAAAAACGGTTCAAGTTTTGAAACATTTGCATTTACATATCGAGATTGTGATATATCTACAAGAACTAAAGAATTTGAATATTAGAAACGCGACAAAGACCAGCACTATAATTCGTTTGTGGTTGTGGTCCTGTTACAAGTAGTAGTATATCAATAATCAGAAACGAACAAAGACTATAGAAACTGCCTTACGTTATCTTCTGCTCTGCCTAATCAGTTTTGGTATCTAAATCTCTCAGGCCCATATGACCATAATATAGAAAATGTTTGATTGATTCTCTATAACAGAAGTGTTCCATTTTGATACCACAAGCACTTGGCAATGAGGAAAACAAGTGTATGATCCATAAGCAATACACTGGCATAGTGAAAACAACTTAAAAATGAAAATAGAATCACTGACAGATATTGTTACTAATGATCAAACAAATCATGGGCATCCATAGGAGAACCAAGAAGTAGACAATACAAATTTGAAAAATAAAAGAACCAGAGTATCTTGAAATTATTTTTGCCAGTGCACCAGGTTTGATGAAGACACTAAACTGGTGTAAGGTGTGATACATGTAAACAAAAAGGAACAGTAGGAAGTTCTCTGGCCAATCAAATGACAAGAAACAAAAAAAGGACATGAAGGAATGTAAACTAAAACTGGAGCTAAGAAGCAGCAGCCAAGGGATTCTCTACAGCAGATTCATCAAGTTTCATGGAGTAGAAGAGTTCTAGAACATCTGGATCGTTACGGATATAGTCTGGGCAGAGAGAGAGTAGATCCTGTGCTTCACTGTGCCTTGCAGACTTCATCATTGTTTCGAATACACGCATCACCACTGAGATAGATGGAAAATGGTATGAGGTTATAGCCTTTAGGAAACTGTAAGCTTCGGAGCTTGTTCCAGTTTTTGAAAAGTAATTCATGAAAGGGTCAACGAAAGGAGGGAATCCATGATCTTTCATCATTGGTAGAAGACTCAAAGCTTCTTCAAACCCACCCTCACTAGCAACCTTCTTCGTCAGCAGATTACTGACCAAAAACTTGTACGTGGTATGAAGTGGTTTCAGCTGATTCTGCTTTACTTTTGCACACAAAAGCTTGTATGCATCTCTTGCCTGATTGTTGTTGCAGTAAGCATGAACCAACTTCTCAAATGCCTGATCAGCATATGATACTCCTTCCTTTCCAACCATTTTCTCGAAACTCACTAAAGCTTCCTTAAGATCTCCGGAGTCACAGTACCCTACAACAAGAGAAGCCATTGCCTTACCATCTAGGTTAGTTCCTGATGCTTCCAAAAAGTCTATAAGTTCATCGGCTTCGTCTTTCTTTCCCTTATGACTAAGCTTTGATGCAATCATGCTCTGCAGATCACTACTTGGGAGATATCCTCCTTTCTTCATTGCTTTCAACACCTCATTGCTCTGAGCAACCCTATCCACGCTTGTTAAGGACTTTAACACAGATTTCATCATATCATCAGTCAATTCCCTATCATTCACAGTAAAAGCCTCCACAGCTCTTGAAAACAACTCCATGTCCAGAACCTTGGCAGTAACAATCTTCTTAAGCAACAAAGTGAAGCAGTGAGAGGTGGGTTTGTTACTATCACTACCCGCCATTGCAGTCTCAAACAAGTCAACAGCTTCCTCAATCAACTTACTCTGACAAAACCTCGTTGAAACCGTAGCATAAGTCTCTATCTCCACTTCGTAACCACCACTCCTCATCTCCCCGATGATATTCTGAAACCTATCTAAAAACTTCTCTCTCCCCAAAACCCTAGCCACAGCGTTATAACTCTTCTCATCATGCTTAAAGAGACCAGACTCATCAACCCACCGGAAAAACAACAAAGCCTTCGTAGGCTCCTCATCAAGACTCTCCACAATCATCTTAACCAAATCACTCCCAAACTCAACGTTCAAATCTCTAATCTCTTTCTCAACTTCATCACTCCACTCTCCCTTCTCCACAACCTTACACACCCTAACGCAAACACTCTCGGGAGAATCATCATCCAACGGATCTAAAGGAAAAAGCTTTCTCAACTTAATGTAATCACTCAAAAGCCCATCTTTCTGAAACTTCTCACCCACTTTATCTCTAACGTTAGCAGACAAGCCATGACCTTTCCTCTTCATATCCCTAACCAACCCCCAAAACTCATCGATAAGCCCATTCCCACCGAGAATACGAAGCATCATGTTATAGCTTTTCGAGCTAACTTCTCCCTCTTTGACCCAATTGAAAAACCTTTTAGCAACATTAGGGTTTGATTCGAGCTTTCTCAACACCTTCAAAGCCAAATCTTGTGTAAGCACGATCTCCTTTGACTCCATCTCTTTCTTGATCTCGTCTTCGGAGGCTAATCTGGTGAATATATCAATCACGGTGGCTTCGGAAGCAGACTTCTCTTTGACCTCTGACGAGAAGGTTCGAGTGAATGCAGGGGGGGTCGTGATTTGGGATCTTGAGAGAGAAAGATCGTGACTTTGTTGCGGAGATCGGCGTGTGTGGATGAAGGAAGAGATGGGTCGGGTTGAAATGGAGGTTAGATGAAAGTGAGAAGAAGAGGACACACGGTGGAGTCTGAGAAGCATCAATCGCAATTGTTGATGTCTCATCTTTGAATTTGATCTGTGTGTGTGTGGATCGAAAAGGTTGAACCTTTTTTTTCCGTGAGAGGAGTGAGAGACGAGACGGAGGAGGAGTGAACAGCGATTCAGAGATGGGTTAGGGTTTTAGTGAGGATTTTTGATTTTTCGAGGCGAGGAAAGACGGCTAGCTGAGAGAGAAGGTTTCTATTTCAATGACGTAAGAGGAAAAAAAGAATTTGGGATAATTCGATTTTAGCCCCTATTTTCTTTGTGATTTACGAGTTTTGTGCCGTATAGTTTTAATTAGATCAATATTTCCTTCGTTTTATTTTAATTGTGGTTTTTGCACATAGATTTAAAAAATATTTAATTTTACATATTTTAAAAGAAAAAAACATAATTACATATACACCTAATCACTTGTCAACCAATATAAAAATAAAATATCATATAAAACTAATTAATTTTTCCTCGAAATTCTAAAACGATAAATATTTTGAAATGAATCTTTTTTGCTAGAATGGAGAAAGTATTTTCCAGGCCTTGGACCTGTGTTTTCCTTGTTAAGGCGGCTTTTTTTCGTTTGGATTACCTATTGTTGGACTGTATTTGAATTCTTATGACTTTTTCCCAATACATCAATATATATTTTTCTCAGTATCAATAATAAAAATATATTGTTATTTTTGCTTTATTCTTTTTTATCTTAGAGATTTTTTATTTAAGCACAATAACGGTTTCTGTAACTTCAGTTTATTATAACTTGATTTAACAATACGAGAAATTTAAGAAATAGATGGAAGTAGGGTATATATGACTAATGAATGAAAAGTAAGGATAAGATAAGTTGTTGGAACTTAAATTACATGTTTTTTAACGGGAAGCTAAATACATTAACATCCAAACATACACTTGAGAAACATTAATCCAAACATTAAAACAGTAAACACAACAACAACAACAAACAAAAATAAGTACGAAGAAGGTGAGAATCAATTAGAACTCCCAAATTTATTTAAGACCACAACAATTAATTTAAAAAGATCATTATACAACATCCCAATTTGATTTCTAGTCCACTACTTGTTCATGCCAGTCTTCTCCTTCACAACATTAACAGCTCCCCCTGCGGTCTCTGATATCTTCTGTCCGGCCTATATACGTAGATAAATATGCAGTATAAATGATACGAGAAGCATGTAGATTACAGACGTATATTTATATGTGTCTGGATCACTTACGGTTTGAGCAGCCCCTCCAGCAGAGGTAGCAGCATCCTTGACCTTGTCCACTAGCACATTAGACTTCTCCTATACACACCAAAAGTATTAGTTATATAACGGAATTTAAAAGTTGTTAAACCGAGTGCTAGGACCAAAGAAATCCGAAGAATTCTACCAATATTTTGCTTATCCAGACTAATACCAATGAGATTTATATAGACTTAAAATAGTATAGTTACTATACTTATATGTGTTTCAGAAAACAAAAACAAAACAACAGGTTTTGTGGATCAAGAAAAAAATCTATTGAGCAAACTTTCTCTATAGTTTTTAAGTGTGATTGCTTGAAAATTTTCATAAACGTTAGGTAACTACTAATTAAGTGCGGTTGCCTCGGGGCAACGACTATATTCTTAACCGCAGCAACAACATATGATCAAAGTTTTAAAGAGAAAGAGACCTCAGCACGACCAGCGGCTTGACCGGCTTGGAAGCTTTGCTTGTTGTCTGCCATATTTTTTAGAATTTATTTTTGTTTATATGAGTTTTGATGTGTTTTTGTGTTTTGATTGATGATGGGAGATGTGGGCTTAGCGTTTGTATTTATAGACCAAAAAGAGACAGCTTCGTGGTGCCATGTGTAATCTGAAACCACGTCGGTGAGGTTTAGTGGTACGATTTGTTTTTGCCTAATGTCGGTAGCTATTTATTGGCTATGGGAGAACTCCACCAAGTGTCTATTTTGGGATTGATATAGGATACTAAAACTCTTTGTATGTGGTTCTCTCGCATCCCTCCTGATTCTTTTAAAATCAAAATATATCGAAGTATATGGATATTGTGTAGTATTATCTCGTCGTCTAGTAATTTCTAATCCAGTATAGATATTTTTTAGTTTTTAACGTACGACTAGGTCTATGTATGTAAACAGAAATATGTAACGTGGGGTTTGTTGCATATGCGTTTGGCAAAGAAAATGTATACGAAGAAATGAAAAAGTTTGTGCGTTAGGTGAATCCGGAGCCATTTTTATTTTTATAACACTTTTATGAACGAATATTCGAGGCAATACAATTTACAAAAAGAAGTCTTTTAAACAGAAATGAGATGATCGGAACCTAATTGTCCTAGACACAAAAAATTCCTGTACAACACATTTTAATGGGAAAAACTTTAGTATTTCGTTCACGGCATAATATACAGGGTGAAAGTTACACGTACCCGGCTGTGTTCGGCAAGTTCCTTGTTGCAGTTCCCCAACTTCCAATATTTCCAAGTACAAACAAAATATTGGAAAGATATTAGTGGTGTCATAAAAATTCCTATCTCATATCCAATTTGAATGAAGATAATCGGTATATAATATACTAGTATGTATAATTTTAATAATTACCAAAACACATTGGTTTATCGATTCGGTTCAGTTTTTTTATCTATCCCTACTTTCTATACAACTTTCACATCAAAAGTTGATAATGTTTAAGTTTAATAAACCAGAGAGTATACTTTTAAAAACTTGTTTTTGCATTTTAATTTTTAGTTTGTCAAAATAATATGAAAGTAACCTAGGTCAAACTCTAATATTTCTTACAAAGGGAAGAAAATAAAAATAAAAACTAAATCAGAAGATAAAACCGAAAAATAATAACTAAATTTTTTTTCAGAAAGAAGAAGAATACAATAACTAATGTTTAGATAATTGATTCAAAGTCACTTCACGTGTTCCTAGTACAATAAATAACTACAAAATCTATAAGTAACTACACTTATAACTAAGAGTATCATTATCTCATGTTTTTGGTGGATTGTTTAGCTATTTTTTTGGGTGTGGTTTCCACCAAAAACACAAGCAACCATCTCTATATATGCTAAAATAAGCAATTAATTTGAAATGTTGCTTGCACTGTTCGCAGCTTTAGATTTCTAAAGCATGTTTATCACTTTGTCTTTTAGTCTAGATTTCTTAAATTTTTTTTCTTATTATTTTTTTTTGGCCGATAAATTTTGTTTTTTAAAAAAGATTAATCGCGGACCATCTCGTGTCGTGGAATCTACAAAACAATATAAAAAATAGAACAAAAATGTTTTTTTTTGCATACACAAACCATGTTTCTTGTGATGTATGTGGAACCCGCTAATTTTTAATTATTTTTTGGTTATAAAACCAAAGGAAAACAACTCTATAAACATGCTCTAAGTACTTTTTAATTATGTCAACAAAAAAAAACTAAATACTTTTTAAATGCATTAATTTTATTACTTTCCTAGGGCTGGAGTTCTACCAATAGAGCTGGTGCGATCCGTTTATCTGTTGTTCCAACTCTACGCAGTAGGTACCAAAAAAAGGGAATAAAAGTCAAAACAACAAAAGCAATAACCGCTCAATTACTCGGAACCCTAAACACCAATCCTATGATTAATAGTTTATTCAATCAATCAATCAATTAACCAATTTATAACATATTTTAAGTGCAGATACAACATAGTATATAACAATTGTTTTATCGGATATAATTAATAATAAAATGATAGATGAAAAAAAAAGACTTATTTAATTGAAATATAATCAAATCCTAAAAAAAATATGAGCAAATAATAAGAAATATGATATGTTATTCCATTATTGATCATTTTTGTGTGACAAATGGCTATTCTAGCCCCATAGTCAATCCTAATTAACTATGTATATGATTAGTATATATTTAATTTGGGTTAATAATATTTATGAGTTGTAATCCAACCAAACATTTATTGTACTAGTTTCTGTGTCATATGCAGAAATAATTTTTTAATATAATATTTTATTTTTAAAAAGTAATTATATTTGGACATCATTATTTTTATATTTTAACTTGAATGATTTGCAAAAAAAATCATCAACATATTTTTTTGTAATCATGTCTTTTAATTTGATTTAACTATTTCAGTTTGGATTTACAAAAGTTTAATAAAGTTAAAATTAGATTTATAAAAAGAAGTATTAATTATATTATATTTAATAATTATTTATTTTTAATATAGCTCTTCTCTCCTAGTTATATATATATAGATAATTCTAATAAATTTTGAATTTTGGTTGTTCTAGTCAAAATCAAATTTATAGTTGGGTTTTTTGCAGAATTGACCTGAAACTTGAAATCAACCACAAAACTAGCCTCCTTTTCTTTTGGAACTTTATTTTGCCCAATTCACCCCACAAGTTCATATAATTCACGAAAATGCCATCAATTTTTTTTTTTTTGGTTTCGAAAATAACATATTTACTCTCTCACCCTCATCATCTTCAAGTAATTACAAGATTGCCATTGTCATCAATACTCCAACAACCATGAACAACCAATTTTGAAGCTCTTAATGCCTCCAAATTCCATTTACCCTTCTTCTTTTT